CCCCGATGTATAACTGGTCGCAGTCCTCCTGGCACTAAATAAAGTCTGTAAAAATACTGTTAATATAATTTTAAAAATATATTCTCACACAGACTGAGCCATTTTATTAACACTGCAAAGCATTCTGGGTAAATGACGAAGGAACACTACGTTGTCCCTGCCAGGCTGCAAGCCAGCTTTATTCACCCCGAAGGTCAATCTTAGACAATATCTGACGATCAGCCCTTTTAAAACAAACTAGAGTGCTTTGAAGAGAGTATGAGAGAATGTAGAAATGACTCATCCTGCAACTGAAAATGTCTGTGGGTTTATTTACCAAGAAAACCCACTTCTAGTGGGATCACACAGCGGCTGATCGGCGAGGAACAGATCCAGCTGCTCCAAGCTCACCGTTTTTTCTTGTCCCAACTTTAAATCAAATGCTTACGTTCACATTTGTTTACTCAGTAACAGGTGGGATTTCAAAATGTAACTAAATAAATAACTCAAATAACTTAATAAGTAAATAAATAACTTAAATAAAACATACTGAAGTAAAATTATAGATTTAAATTATAATAATAATAATAATCACTCAAAGGTGTATGAATTACACTAAATTTAGACAATCAAATCTAAGTGGAGGAGTTCAAGTGTCTTGGGGTCTTGTTCACGAGTGAGGGAAGAATGGAGCGTGAGATTGATAGACGGGTCGGTGGAGCTTCCACAGTTTTGCAGACTCTGTACCTGTCTGTCGTGGTGAAGAGGGAGCTGAGCTGTAAGACAAAGCTCTCAGTTTACCGGTCAGTCTACGTTCCTACCCTCATCTATGGTCACGAACTTTGGGTAGTGACCGAAAGAACAAGATCTTGGATACAAGCGGTTGAAATGAGTTTCCTCTGCYGGGCAGCTGGACTAGATAGAGTAAGAAGTTCAGTTATCCGTGAGAGACTCAGAGAAGAGCCGCTGCTCCTCTACATCGAGAGGAGTCAGTTGAGGTGGTTCATCTAGTAAGGATGCCTCCTGGATGCCTCCCTATGGGAGGTGCTTCAGGCACCTCTGGGTCTCTGGGAGGAGACCCAGAGGAAGACCCAGGACACGCTGGATAGATGTCTCTCAGCTGGCCTGGGAACACCTTGGAGTCCTCCCAGAAGAACTGGAAGAGATGGCTGAGGAAAGAGAGGTCTGGGCTTCACTGATCAAGCTGCTGCCCCTGAGACCTGACTTTACATAAAGAGGAAGATGATGGATGGATGGATGGATGGATGGATGGATGGATGGATGGATGGATGGACGGATGGATGGATGGATGGATGGATGGATGCATGGATGGATGGATGGATGGATGGATGGACGGATGGACTCAAAAGCAGTTAATTTAATGGTGTTTTCGTGATGAAATTCTAATTTTGGAGCGGCGTCAGTAAATGTGTCCCGCGACCCAAAGGAGACGAGGTGCTTTGCGTGTTCTGACCCACAACATGCTGGCAGCAGAGCTGCTAACAGGAGACGACGAAACAGGTATGATTTCAGTTTATTTAGCTCAGCAACGGTGGCCTGTGAAGTCCTATGTAATGCAGTTGGTTCGGTTCGATTCCGGTCTGTATTCACACCAGAAGCGAACTGAAGTGAACCACCAGAGTTCGTTTGGACGCGGACCAAGACCACCTCAAAAAGCAGGTCTRGGTCCGGTTGTTTGATCCGCACCAGAGTTCACATGAGTGTATTCACACCTGCACAAAAGGTCCGGTCCAACGCTGGAAACGAACTCTGGTCCATTTAAAGCGGAGCAAATGTGTCAGGTGTGAATACGACCTTAATCATGCAACTAAATGTAATTTGTTYCTTTCCACCCCTGGCTGTGATCGTGAGCTCACCCGTCATTGAGGAAGTAGCACTGCCAGGTTGCCGGGCTGTCCTCCACAGAGTTAACAGTCCTCTGAACCCCAAACACTTCCAGCAACTTCTCACCAGCCTGTAGCTGCTTCACACCCAGTTCACTCTAAACACAAACCAGAGAAACGCTTCAGATTTATTATTCATGTTGTCAGCGATGACCCTGGAAGACCTCCATACTGTAGCTGTGACTGCTTACAAACGTGGAGTGGTTGATGTGTAGCTGCTGGTCCAAGGAGATAAAGGTCATGTTCTCTGGAACCTTCTTCCTCAAAGCCATCAGACGCATCAGCAGCAGGCTGGAGCCCTCGCTGACCAGTCCTCTCAGGACGGACATGGGATAAGAGACGTTCTCTTCTGTCTTTTCCTGCGCGCACGCATACACACACACACACACACACACACACACACACACACA